TATGATTGAACGTGATGAACGACTATTCTGACTAGAATCTTGATACTGTACTGTATTAATTGTATCCCTGCTGTACAAACACCCTCCCGTATCACCAGACTTGCGTATTGTGATATGCTAAAGTGATATCACACTGTGCTAAAGTGCTAAGGTGATACATATCACCGTGAATATATATCACACTTTTTTTCAGGTAAATGTGATATCACGATAGCTAAAATGCTATCGCCCGTAAGTACCCTTATCGATAAGACCATCTAATCTTATCTACTGTAATTAGCGTTTGCAACACCCCTATTGGCTTGTGTCATCGTGCACAGACCACCGAGGCGCACAAGGGGACATTTTCTTCTGGTGTTGCCTCTGAACGGTCAGTGACCTCGTACAGGAAGGTTGGGGGTACAGGAGACATACATGTGAGACTCCAAGGTCGAAATAGTCTTCTGATTGTGAGAACACTGGCACCGGTAGAAAGCTCCTAATGGGAGATATCTAAACGGACCAGTTTTCATTTGCATTACTTCTAATCTACGGAAAAACAGCATGTGTTCAAATTCGTGGGAGTTTTTGCAAGACAGGCATACCCTATACCTGAGTGCTAGAAAGATCCCAGGTTCTCACGTATTTCCCCACACTTGCGCAAGTACCCCCTTAACAGCACTAGTCGCATTTCATGGTCACGAGGATTCGCATCGAAATAATGGCTATTGATATCCTCTCGATCGCGCCTGAATCGGCTGATCCGGAATGTGCATTCTCTGGTGGTCGACGTACTCTCTCCTGGGATAGAGAACGAATGACTTGCGAGAATCTTGAGAAGGTTGAATGTATAGGTAACTGGCTGCGTGAAGGGCATATCCAGAAGGCTGTCCATAGTGGTATGGGTGTAATTACTGATACGGGTTTTGATAGTGGCGGCGATGAAGACCCTTATGTTAATTCTGATCGATTTGCGGATACCTGATAGTATAGGTGCTAAAGTGCTATAGTGATATCAATTGTTCTAAAGTGCTATAGTAATATCAATCGTGCTAAAGTGCTAGGGTGATATTCTAGCACACTTTTTGCGAATATGTGAATATGAATATGAATATCACTTTAGCGCGTGATATCACAATACGCAAGTCTGATGTGGAAAGGTCGGATCTGAAGAAGCAGCAACATGGCACCATTACGGACTTGTTCGGAAGGCAGGAGGAACGTCAAGCCAATCGAGACCTTAATGAGGAAAAATATTTGGCAAACGCTATTAATATTCCTGCATTCGAGGAAGCACTCGCCAGACTTCTTGCGGTTCGCAATATCGCCCATACATTCATCGAGTACCCTGAGTTTCATGCTGTTATACTCTCCTGCAACTATATGGCCCGGGACGTCCTCCTACGCAGCCGCAGAGCGGTGCCGAAGCTTCTCAAGAAGACTTTCGCTCAACACAAACAAGGGCTCGTTAAGAAGCTTCATAATTCTCTCTCATCTATGGTCCACTTCACCATTGACATGTGGACCTCATCAGAACAGAAGGCGGCATACCAAGCAATCGTGGTCCATTTTGTAGATGCGGAGACGAGAGGAGTCGCTCAAGCGTTATTGTCACTGCGCGAGTTCAAAGGAAGCCACAACGGGAAATTGCAAGCCAAGGCTTTCCTGGAGGTTGTCGAAGAGTACGATCTCGGAGGAAAGGTTGGCTACTTTACGATGGATAACCACGACGCTAACGACACTATGCTTGGCGATATCGCAAGAGAGATTGATGGTTTAGATCCGGTTGCCAGGCGACTACGCTGCAGTGGCCACATCATGAACCTCATCGTTCAAGCCTTCCTCTTTCGGAGTAAAGCAAAGAAGATTTAGGAGGATGAGAGAGAGGGGATTGATGAGGCGTACGAGCGGCTGTGCAGGCTATCCGAAAAAGAAGAAGGGGGCATTATTACGAAGGCACAAGCTACCGAGGAATGGCGGGAGTTTAGTGTTCTGGGGAAACTCCACAACTTGTGCATATATTCAAGGAGCTCTACCAGCATTTACAACGACTTCAAGGCCGAGATTGGCAGGGCCTTGCCGAGGGACAATGACACACGTTGTAATTCATGGTTTCGCCTCATTGACGTGGCAATTGAGAATCGGGCAAAGTTCATGGATTGGATTCAAGAAAATCATGCCAAAATCGAGAAAGATGCACTGGACCACAACGACTGGAACGAACTCGGGGATATTCATGCGTTCTTACAAGTATTCCACCAGATCTCGGTACGCCAAGGCCGGGAGAATACACTCGATGAAGTTCTCTCCCATATGGATTTCCTCCATCATCACTTCACGCGGACTAAAAACCGGGCTTTCAGCGGCCCACGCTTCTACGCGCGCTTTCACGTGGCTTGGCTAAAGTTCGAGAAGTATTACCAGCTTACCGAACAAGCTCCGGTGTACGTGGCCGGTATTCTCCTCCACCCAGCACTCCGAAAGAGCTATCTGAGTGAGCAGTGGAAGAGAAACCCAGCCTGGGTCAGCAATGCCGTGAAGGCTGTAAGGAAGATCTGGTCCACAGA